TTATTACTTCCATTTAATCTTCCTATATTATCTCCTCTTTATTATATTATTCAATCAATAGAATCATCTGCATTTCTTTTACTTATTGTAATTACTGTTTTTGTTATTTATATTGCTTGGTGTGTTTATCAAACATTAATATCAATGAAATTATTTGATTATTATCAATTATTTAATAATCGTTTATCTGATCCTGGTTCAATGCTTTTTTCTGCAGCATATTTATGTCGTTTATGTGCTCCATTAGCATTAAATATTCTTCATATGATTAAATTTGATGGTATTCATTTCAATGGAACACAAACTGCTTTTCAGTCAGTAATGTCTTCAATGGAAGATATTCCATTCTTTGGTCAAAATAGTTTCAATGATTTCTTCCCTGTTTGTATTGTAATTGTTTCTGCATTTAGTTTGTTGAACCATTTCATTCCAATTCCTTTAATTTTCAATTCAATTTTGAAATTCTTTGGTGTTAGAGATCATAATAAACTAACTACTGCTCAAAAAATAAAAAGAGGTAAATACATTTCTCAAATATTTTACACTCGATATGCTGATTATATGTTTACTTTAAATGCAAGTACTCATTTATTAAAACAAAAAGATGATTAATTTTTTATTATATCTTTCATTTTTTTGGTTTAATCAGATTTTTATTCTTCTATTTCCTATCTTATTGTTTTGATTTCTAATTAATCAAGTATTTTTATATAAGACATTACAAAGTATTCGTTAACAGTAACTCTTTTGTTTTCACTATAATTAAATGAACATTATTCATTTTCATGTTTTTCTATCGTTTTTATTTTTAAGTCCAAACAAATCAGAAATCAAATTCTTAATCTCTACCATACTTAATTATTTTATCTTTCCATTTACAATTCAACTATTTGTTTAAGAATACATTAATTGATTTATATTGTATTAGTGTTTAATTAATTTAGAATTGAAGTAAAATCATCATTGTTGATTAATATTTTTAATCATTTTTTTATTTCTTTAAGGAAAATAAAACATTGTTTCATTCATTACTGGAATATTAATTAATGTCTTCATTGTATGATACTGTTTACAATT